GTAGAGAAATGTTTTCTCTACAAAACTGCCGTTTTAGAAAAATGTTGCAAATCGTTTTTATGAAAATACAAAACATTTATTGTGAATTTTTGAAAAATACGAAAAAATAACCGATGCACTCCTAATCCGCAGCTTCCCTCTTTCTTTTAATCCATTTCAATGCTGTTCCATCCTGTTATTTAAATTTTATGTCATTACGTATAAAACATCTATATTTCAGATATCACTTTTATAATTGAATTACAATTTCAGATTATTGTCTACGAATAAAAACAAAATGAGTAATTCTACTAGTAGTTTAAATGAAACCGTCAGTAAAAACAGCAACAAGAAAGCAGTATATGATATTCCTACAACTGTCGAGCTATTAAAAGCATTATTCGAACGTGAAAATTATTGTTTCAGTTCATTTTCATCCATTGATCTTACTAAAATAGTTCAAACAGGAATTGAAAATTCTCAAAGACAAAATCAATTAAAGTCAAGACCCATTTAATTGTGATCCTGTCTTAAATGAATTTGAAAATGACCTGGCCACAATTTTTGATGATAACATGGTTAAATATGAAATTTGTTCAGTTCAATCATTAAATTCAACGTCATCATCATCATTATCTACGACTACCTTCGATGACAATCAATGTAAATCAATTTGGTTTCCAAAATCTATGACAATTGGTGAAGCTCGTCGTATATTATCTACTATATTATATAGTACAAACAATAATTCTATACCTGCTGATTTTTCTGACTATGTTTTAGTATATGAAAATATAATGACTTCATTAGAGAATGATAGTAAAATATTTTGAAGAAATGTTAAAAATTTCATTCCGATTAAATCGAGTGGCATTATCACCATTTCGATTATTAATTATTCATAAATCTCAATTATTGTTATTAGAACCTAAAGAATTAAAATTATTATTAACAGAACATAAATCAATTTCACTTTAAGAATTAATTATGTATCATTCAATTACAAATAATATTAATCAATCAGAAATAGTAAATAATGACTATATTACAAGTCAGACTACTAGTAGTAAAGATAAAAATGATGAATATTGGCCAATACGTGAAATTAAAATGGGAATAATTCCTTCAACACAACTGATTCATCCATTAAAATATAATCAGTTACGTCGAATTATTGGTAAAATCATACAAACTACTGATATATCAACAAAATTAAAAATTAATTTCAACACTTGTCTTAAATTATTAAAAAATGTATGATATATTAGACATTAAATCAATAACACCACATTTATCAAAAGTAATAGAAGTATATGATTATCCATTATTAGTCGCATTGTCCTACGATTGTTTAGTTTTATCTCAATTTACTAATGTTCAATGTTCAGATGGTCGATGGGCTCAAGGAGTAATGATTAATGGCAAGTATTATTCATTGAGTAATAAAGCATATAATCCTATGTCAGAATTAAAAGTTGATCGTGGTTCTGTTATTCAATTAAGATTTAATGCTCAATCTGAAATATCTCAAATGAAAAAACATCATCTTTTCAAACGAATGATGTAGAAATTAATGAATGTTGTCAAAAAGCGTCAGGAGTTGATAAACCTAAACCCCGATTGTCTACTATGGATTTTCACGGTATATCACACTATATTTAACCGTAGACATCAAAGACTGCCACTTTCTCTTTTATCTCATCTCTTTGATATTACTGATCTCTTTTCGTTCTGTGTATATATAGAAATCAAGAAATGAAGCATATCACCGGACTCCGAAATTTTCAAACGCGATTAGAGTCCGGGGGACTATTGTGCCATCAACGCTCTTCAGCAAGTAGATACATTATATACTGTAGGTGTTGCTGTTTCATATCAATTTGCTTTCTTTCGCATAGCATCAATATTTTCATACCGTCTCTTTAGTTTACTTAGCTACGAATCTATAGTCTTGTCGTCTGGTCTACTATCAAGTACAGATGACAGAAAACGAAAATAATAAGTATGAGTATTTTCCTTTCTTATAACAGAATTTTTTCGTTATTTTTCAACACTTTCTTATACGCTTTAGTTTTCTTTGAATCAGAATAGACAACTCTGTTGAGCAGATATCGAATGCAGCTGAAGTGCATCGAATCAGCTAGAGCTGTCATCCATCACACAGAGAGATTGTTATATGTTAATACTATAGTTTCTGCGATAGTTTTTAGACTTGACTGTACCATGTTTTACTCGGACTTTTCTTCGAGAACACGGTACAATTAGTGTCTGAAGTTCCTCTCACTATGCCATAGGCTTTATACTACAACCGACTTCTGAGAAAGATGTTTTTCTTTTTTGTACACACACAATCAAAGAAAACGTTGGAAAAGTGGCAAGAATTCACCTCTCTACTTGCTCACTGAACCTGCGATGTGCTGTTTTAGTAATTACTTGAATCTTCCAAATTTTACGTTGAACAGACAAAAGCAGGAGATATAAACTACAAAAACGACTTGAAGTGATCTGCACACTACATTAAGAAAATAACAAAATGATTTTTATATAAATCACATTCTGTTTTTGCACATTTCGGGTAACATAAAAGGAGAATAGCAAAACGTCCTCAATAACGCACGTGGCTGTCATATAAATTTTATAACTTCACTTTAAAGAAAGAAAGAGGGAAATTGGCGGCTGCGGATTAGGAGTGCATCGGTTATTTTTTTCGTATTTTTCAA